ATATTAAATATTAAGATATATGCTATTTTTTGATGCTGATATAGAATATATAAAGCTATACGCTATAGAGCATTTAAAGTGCTCCTTATCAGCTCTTATCTGGGCAGCTTTTGTTGCTGTTGTTTTTATTATTGCTTGCTGTGGTAGGCGGGCTGCACTTTGTAACCAATTTTGTTGTGTTTGTTTTGCCTTTTATTTTTTATTTTTTTTTTTTTTGCTGCGCATTAAATTGGCTTGTGCTTTGCGGTCGTGGGCCAGGCTAGGCTAGAGTCGAGTCGGCTCAACTGACTTGGGCTCATCGTAGAGCTTCAGGCATTGGACCATATTCCGGGCGCAGCTGTTGCAGCGTTTTTTTTTTTTGTTTTGTCTCTTGTTGTTGTTGTTGTTATTGTTACGCTGTGGCTCTCTGTGGCAACGCTGGCTTTGTGAAATAGCAATTACTTTTTCATGCTTCACTGCAATAAAATTGCAATTTTATGCGGCCAGCCGCCAAACAAGCGAAGCCTCCCAAAGACGGCAACAACAACGGCCAGCTGAACGGAAGTGCAGCCATTGAAAAGGCATTTCAAAATGGCCGCAATTTATGGCGGCAACAGTCGCTGCCAAATGTTAAGGCCACAAAACAGGCCATGACTAGAGCATTTAACTGTCATGTGGAGTCATTAAAGGGCGTCAAGTGTATAAGCATCAAGCGAATAAATATTTGTACGTGCGATGCACTCCAGCAATGTTAAGACGTTGATATTCGAATAAAATTGGGCTTGAAGCTACATTTCAGTTGAATTGAAAGCGTGGCATGGAAAGCCAAACAGAATTCTATGGGTATTATGCTGAAAAACTCTTTAAAAGAAAAGTAGAAGAATTTCTATTGAATGAGTTTTGTGAAAGTCTTTACTAGAGAAGAGTAAGTAGATATTTGTATGGAATTTTTGCTTTTATTTTGCTTTAGTTAAGTAGTTACATATATCTGTATAGTATGTACATATTACAAATTTTTTTAGATGGTTTTTTATACGATTTTTATTGAAGACTCAAATGGGTAGGTAAACATAAATCTAGAAAGTTCTCTAGCTTTCACTAAAACGAAACATTTATCAATCTGCATACAATATTAAACTTGTTCAATTATTTAAACGAAAAATGCCAAACGAGCATACGGATATTTATAGCTAAATATAGTTATCAATTTTTAATTGAAAAGAAATTAATGTTTTATTTAATGCTATAATTAACAGGGATTTTTTAAATCCAATTTGAGATCAGATTATGTTCAAAGTAGGCAGAACTTAAGAATTACAATATTCATAGTTCTACTATTGTCAAGAATTATCTTCTTGCAGTTTTTCAAAGCAGTCCACTTTAAGGAATTTTAATGGCGCAAATTTGGGTCAAGCTTTTGCTAAAGAAAAACTTTGAAATGTCTGTAATTGTTTCTCACATTTCAAATACCATTTATCTTGCTCAACGATTTGCTTTTGAAATTCAATTTAAATTTGACTAAAACTAAAATATTGCCAAATAGTTTTCCAACTTGAGCGGAGACTCATGCTCTCGGTGCTCTTTTTCGTCTTACTTTCAATTTAAAGAAACGCCAAATTACATTCAGGCATCCGTCTGCATATTCATTAGTTGCGCTTCCTGTTGAAAATGCGCTGCCCGAAAAAGTATGCTACGCTTTTTTATGCCCAGCTGCAATGCAAATAAAAAGCAGCAGCAGCGACTCAGCTGTGTAAGAGTAGATTTTAAATATACAATGCGCTTTTATCCTGTTGCGCTGCTCTGCTTTGCTTTCTCACTCACTCATCTTCTCTCCCTCTCTGTTTGTTTTATTATTACATTCATTTTGACACTTCATCAGACGTTGGCCCTGTTTATAATTTTTTTTTTCTGCTTCTGCTGCTGCAGCTGCTGCCTGTTTGCTTTGTGTTCTGATGTCAATGCTTTGCCTTAAAGGCTTAGCTGCCCCGCCCACGTCCACGTCCAACGCCAACGCCAACCGCGCCCGCCTCCACCATTGTCAGGCTGTGCGCTCGTTAGCTGCGACGCTTGCGGGCGCTGCGTTTTGTTTAAGAATTTTTTAATTTTAAATGCAAAGCAAAACAGGCACGTAAAGAGAATGCAATATGCAAACGTGCTACAAGCTGAGAATGTAAAAAAAAAAAAAAAAACAACCAAGACTTTTACCCATTTTCCGAGCCAGGCCTGGCAAAAGACTAAAATGCGTATTAAATCTAAGAAAAAACACGCAAAAACAAACAAAAAACTAACTGAAATTTATGTGCATAATTTCGTTAGGTGTTCATTTTGTATGTAAATCGTGCGCAATTACATTTGGTGTAAGGGAAGGACGTTGGTTAGTTTTACATAAAAATACAGTGATTTTAAGGGGTAGTTTAATTAAGCAACGATTAATAGAGAAGGATATACGCTTAAAATAGTTCTTAAAAAAAATATATATATATAAAAACAAGATTTATTTTGAAATCACTCGATCGAATAAATCAATCAAATCGAAAAGCTACAAAATATTGAACTAAAATTTAAATATATATTTGTATTAAATAATAATTTGAGATATACTAAGAATTTATGCGTTGAAAGTATTGTATACTGACTATATTTTGTATATTTATTTTTAATAAATGTTGTCTCGCTGCCTGTCAAATATATATACATATGTATACTCATATATCGTACATACATATGTAGACTAATTATAGCCATGCAGCAGAGTTAACAATGTGTTCGAGCTACAATCGTCGGCTTAGTAACGTCAACTCGATGCAGTGAGAGACCGAGACATACACACAAAACTTTATTTAACTCAACGAAACGGTGGGAGAACAGCTCAGAGCGTAAAAAACGAACATCAATCGTGAACGAGTTCGTTGAAGAATTGATGCAATCGTTTGCTCTCGGGCCTTTTCCTCAGAGTAGGAGTAAAGCACTTAATTGCAGACATCGACAGGTCATCAGTTACTTGTCAGCTCTTTCTATACAAATGTAAATCCCCTAAACCTCTAAGCGGGGTGCTGATTTTTGGGTCTAACAGCTGGAATAAATAAGGCATTATTAAAGTAGTTTAAATAATTAAAATTACAAATAATTATAGAGAAATAACTTAAAGGCTTGTTTTTAGAATAACTAACTAAATAGATTTGGCATAAATATAATAGTGTTATACAAGTAATATTAGTTTTAGCAATTATTTATGCTTGTAGTTTCCCATTAAAATGCAATTTTATCAAATTCGCAATAAAAAACCAAAAATAATCGCTACTTGAATACCGAAATTGAATTTTAATTAATTTTATAGCAAACAGCTCAGCCAATAGCTAACTGCCCCCATTCATGGTGTCATACTCGAAAACGTTTTCATTTCGCAGCTGCATTATAATCGAGTGCAATTAAAATGCAGCTCCTGCCTCTGCTCACTCTCGGCCCCAATCTATTTCTCTCTCTCTCTCTCTCTCTCTCTCTCTCCCGCTGGCATTGTAATCAATATGCCATTATCAAACTTGAAGTTGGCTGCTGGCGGGTGCTTCCTGCTGCTGGCACCTACCTCATGAAAATCCATCACAGAGCCAGGGGCAGAGTATTAACACAGTCTGTTGCTACTGCCACGCCCACTGGCCCAGAAGCTCGCATAGAGATTGTGGGTGGGCGCCACAAGTGGCAATCATTAAAAATGAATTCTCAAGCAAGCGCAGCCGCAATTTTCGCTGCACTTGCCTCGTGCCACAAATCCGACACTGAATGCTACTTAGTGGCATGAAATTCCCATTGTGCGCTGTGTGGCATGCCGCACACAAAAAAGTGAAGAGATGAGACTGTGGAGGAGGAGGAGGAGAAAGAGCATAAGGCAACTTGTGATCCAAAAACTGCAAAGAACTCTTAAGAAATTATCAAATTGAGATGCAGAAAGGGCTAGAGTGAGATAGAGAGAGAGATAGCTAGAAAGAGAGATACTGAGTGAGTGGGTAAGTGAGGCAGCCAATTTTTAGTTGTTCTTGCTCGTTTTCAGTTGCATGCATAAATAATTCGACGATAACGATGGCAGACAAATAACGGAGCACAAGAGTCTTTGTCCTCTCTCTCTCTCTGTATGTGCTTGTGTGTGTGTGTGCGAGTGCGTGCGTGCGTGTATGTTTGTCAGAGCCAATTTATTATCGCCAAGAAGGCGAGCAGTCGTCCAAGCAAAAGCAGCAGCAGAAGGCAACCAAGAAAATTTGTATGTTAAAAACTTTGTGGCTCAATAAAAGTTTGCCTTTGTTAAGCGCAAGCCAGAACAATAGAGAGACAACTGAGCTTGAGAGGCGGGCTGCAGCTTGTAGGACAGAGACATATGGCAAATACAAAAATAAAACGGGGAGAGGAAAAAAAAAGACACAGAAAGCGCAAAACTTTCATTCAGTGCCGCCCGCATGCAAACACTGGAACGGAACAGGCATCGAATCAGCTTGTGAACCAAGTTGCATCGACCGAAAACCAGAAACTCGTAAACTTTTACATATCAATAAATTTCAGATACCCCCCACAGTCCTCCCTGCCCCGTGTCCGCTTTGACCTATCACCGTCTCACACAAAACTATATCTTGTTCCATTTGCCGCACGAATTATTGATGTTGATTTGCGGTGCTATTGTGAGCTGGCAAACGGCAAATGGCAAACACATGCAGCTATATATGCAGCTAGCCTCTGGCCACACCCCCTTTTATGGAATTTTGTTCTTTTCTTGATCAATTTTGCTGTTGCTTTGTGAAAACTAATTTTCATCTTTGTCATTGTCTTTCTCTCTATTTGCAGTTTGCTTAGCAGGATATCATGAAAAGAGACTGTTACATGATCTATTGGATCCTTATAATACACTAGAACGTCCGGTTCTCAACGAGTCGGACCCGTTACAATTAAGCTTTGGTTTAACTTTAATGCAAATTATCGATGTGGTAAGTACTAAACATTTTATTGATATACATATGTAATATAATATATA